CAAAAATTTATTTACATTTTTTTTGTTTTAAATAATCATTCCTTCCCAAAAAATCATTAAAATATTGTTAGGTTTACTCTAAAGTCCAGAAACAAATGTTAATTCCATGGAATTCTGTATGCTGAGCACGTTAAGCACTATAATTTAGACGTTTGCATAAATAAATATATTTTATGTATACACTCATACATATGTATAATTAATAACTTAATATATTAACTTTTTTTTCGTTACTTCTTTTTATTAATAACAATAATATTAATAAAAGTTCATTTAGTCGGCAAATTTGATCATTTTTTAAATAAAAATCGTATATTTTCAATAAACAACGATGAACTTTTAAAATATTAAAAAGATTTATATAACTAAATAAAAACTAAATAATATTATAATACAAAAATCAAAAAATGTATATATATGAAATTTATATTCATAATAAATATATTAATATACATAAATATAGTTTAAACAAATAGTTATATATACGGAAAAATTATTATTATATATAAATATATCAATTCATATACAAACTAACGACAAAATGAAAACTTTGAACGTCGAGGCTGCGGCCCAAGCTGAGCTTAATATTGTTTTTCCAAGTACCAACTTTAACAACACCTACAAGCAATCTGTTGGTAGCATGCTAAAAGCCGCAATTCACTCTGCACTAAACACTTTATTAACAGTAAAACTCTCTTGAGAAAAGAATTGCTGATCTTGAAAATATTCTGCCAACAACAGTCAAACTAAATTGGTCAAACTTGTTCCATAAGAATTCCTCAGAAAATATTAAACAACGTCATCAACTTGTCAACTACGTTGCTCAATGCACGAGTGATAGGTCGGAGCGTCTGAAAAATATTGTTATACCTGGCCTGATTATCGACTCCGAAAACTGTCCGCTGCATTGACATTATCAGAAGTTAAAAAATGCATCTTTGCTACGCCATCATCAGCTTGTTTTCCCAGCTCAAACAACAGTAATAAAACCTCCAAGATCAAAGTCGACTGTCATCTATTAACACCCATGTTAACACAAACAGTCGAATCCAGCACTTACCAATCCTTAAACAAACTCCGCTTCTTCTACACGAACCCAAGTTCGCTCAATAATAAAATTAACGAACTAAACTCGTGACTCAATTATAATTCTGCCTATGTATTAATGTTCTGCGAGACTTGGTTTGACCCTAATTTTCCGCTCATAATACAAAATTATCAGGCACCTTTTCATGTTTCACGTAACAATGCGAAAGGAGGAGTTGCAATCTATTTTAAAACTAATCTTACAGTCTATCAAGTTACAGAGTCCCAGATACCTACTGAAGTTAGCAAGCAAGTCTGGTGCGGTCTCAATGTTGGAAAGAATTGCATTCTTATTGGTTGTGTTTACAGGCCCCCATCATCAGACGTAGCTACCAATAATAAAATAAATCGATCAATTAAAAAAGCGTCCTCACTTGCAGATCAAGGCAAATTTACCCATCTTTTATTAGCCGGTGATTTTAACTATCACATTACTTGGTCAAGGTCTGGTGGATTATGTAGAACTTCTTCTAAAGAAGACTTAGAATTCCTTCATGTAGTGAGTTCTAGTTTGTTAACTCAGCTTGTCCATGAACCACCTTTTGGAAGTAATTTTCTTGATCTAGTTTTTACTGACGACCCAAGTAGTCTTACTAATATTTCAATACAACCTCCACTTGGTCACACTTTGAAAGGTAAACTTCACTCGACAATAACATGGGATCTAATACTTGCCGACAACGTAGAGAAGACCAAAACTACGGTTAGAACGGATTATAACAAAGCTGATTTTAATGACATAAACTCCTACTTTCTCAGACAAAATTGGAAAACGCTTTTTAACGATAAAAACGTTGAGTGCTACCAAATATAACAATATCACTACCATATAGTTATGGATAAATTTGTGCCTGTTTACCGTTCAACCATTCGAAGAAAAAATCCAATTTAATATACTTTAATCGTGAAATTAAGAAAGCAACAAAAGATAAATTTTCAGCAAATAAAGCTTCTCGTCGTGTAAAATCACTTCTAGTTAAAGCTTCTAAAGAATATGAAGCTAATTTAGCTGCATATTAACAAGCAAAAATCAACCAGAAAACGCCTTCACGCTCTTGTTGACCATACTGGAAATTTAACCACGGATCGAATAAAAATGTCAAATATTTTAAACAAGCAGTTTTTTTCTGTGTTTTCAAAAAATTTTATTAATGTTATACAATCTTTTGAGCCACGTACCACTACTTACGCAAATACTAACAAAAACATCTTTTCAAAAGCATCAATAGAAAATAAATTAAAAGCACTTAACAAATTTAAACCTGTAGGGATTGATAATTTTCATCCCCATTTGCTAAACGAAATGCATTCTTCAATTTCAACTCCAATTTCAATCATTTTTCGCAAATCTTTTTGCTCAAGTTCAGTTCCAAATAGCTGAAAGTTAGCTAATATTACACCTATATACAAAAAAGGTTAAAAAACTAACCCTGAAAACTACCGCCCAATCTCAATTACACCTGTTCTATGCAAAATGATGAAACGACTTGTTAGAGATGCAATTCAAAACATTTGCTTTCGAAAAACCTTCTTGACACAAACCATCATGGCTTTACACCTGGTAAGTCTTGTTTAACCAATTTATTGGAATCATTTAATTTAATTATCAACGCTATGGTATCACGTTATGACGTTGTTGTAGTTTTGCTTGACTTTGCCAAAGCGTTTGATAAAGTTAGTCACTCGCTACTTCTTAAAGAAGTTCGCGCGTATTGTTTTAACGAATATATCTGCCAATGGATAAATACACTCCTATCCAATTAAAAACAACGAGTTATTATAGAAAATTCAGAATCCGACTGGTTGAACGTCCTCAGTGGTGTACCTCAGGGTTCATGTATTGGACCATAACTATTCCTCATTTTTAATAAAGATATGTCTCGTCTACTCAATCACCATTGCAAACTTCATGCTGACGACACCAAAATTATTGCGATTATAAAAGAACCCTCTGACCTGCAGCAATTACAAACCAACATCGATTAGAGTAGTTGACTGGGCTGATACTTGATCAATGAGCTTTAATCTAGAAAAATGCAGTTATATGATTTTTAACAAGCATTGTTGCACACAACAATTAAACAATAAAACTTTTGTTGATGATAAACTTAATGATCTCTGCTTCCAACTAACAATGACTGACAAAACTGGCTTTTCTTACATTCTTAAAAGACCATCTCTGAACGTGATCTTGGTGTTGTTGTTCACAATCGGTTCTCCTGGAACGATCAAGTAGCAAAAGCTATTTTAAATTCATATACAGTTCTTGGAATTCTTAGACGCACTTTCAAATATTAGACTCTTAATATGTTCCGCGTTCTTTTCTGCTCTTATGTAAGGCCTCATTTGGAGTATTGCTCATCAACATGGGGACCCTTTTCAATTGAAAATATAAAAGTTCTTGAAGCTGTTTAAAATCGAGCCACAAAACTTGTCCCAAATTTGCGAACCATGAAAGTCAAGGAACGCTGCTCAGCTATTGGTATCCAATCACTTGAAAATCGAAGGCGCTGAGTGATCTTATACAATACTTTAAGATAAATACCGCGGCATAAGCAAAGTTAAATGAATCGAATCACCATCTCTTGCTCTGGCACTTGCGCAACCTGGACCAGCTGGTGGTCTTCGGGGTTTTTCCCATCGCATTTGGGCACCAAGAATTATTAAATGTGTAGCTCGCAAAACTTTTTTATGTAACCGTGTGTCAGTTATTTCAATGCGCTACCACCAGATATCCAGATATCATTACCTTCGATAGAAATGTACCAGATATTGTCAACATTAACACTTCCAAAAAAAAGCTTGATAGATTTTTTGGCTCACTTCCATACAAAACTGTTTGATTGGTACTTCTGTTTCTCGTTTGGGAATGTTATTAACTCAAAGTGCCGATAATTTTATTTCTTTTTTATTTTTGTTTGGTAATCCTCTATACTGGATCTACCATAGCAGATATTGGTTGCTTTCCCAGCTTCACGGATTTTTCCGTTGTAGATTAAATTAAAAAAAAAAATCAAAGTAAAAGATTACAAAAGCCAATTGTTTAAAACTTTATACTGTAAAAATTAAAAATTAAATGAATATACAGTATAAATTAAATAATGAATAAATTGCGCTTTTTTAATCTCAAGTTTATATAGTTTAATCAAATTAAAATTTATCTTTAAACTTGACTCTCTTGAATACTTTAGAGTAAAGTTCGACCTTATAATGACCTACAGAATATCACACAACCTTATGGACTAAACTTTTTCAGAATATTTAGAATTCGCACCTAATCACTATTTACAACAGAATAGTAAGTAGGTGTGATTCAAAAAATCTTGTGAATCACAAAATAAACATTCGCAAAAATTTACTCAAATTAGCAAGTACAAAAATAGTATTCAGAGATTTTTTTTCTGCAAAAGAATAATTTAAAATATGGAATTTTCAACCAAATGAAGTTGTTTCTTTATCTTTATTTTCTGCGGTCAATTCGAATTTAAAAACGTGCAACATTTTTAATATTTTGTCAAAGTGATAAAGTTTAAGAATCTTTTTTTATTAGTTATTTTAATATACCTTAAAAATAAATTTAATTACAAAATGACACAAGACAAAGTGAATTTGCTTTTTTTGAATACCAATTTTTAATTTTAATAATATCAAGATTTTATATTTTAAAACACAGTAAAAGCAACTTTGTTTTTATGTGCCGCTTTAAATATTATTTAATTAAAAAAATAATTTTTGATTTGGCACATTATTATCATTTTTTAGCTTATTTATAATAAACAACTTTTCAAAATTATTTCTTCATAAACTTATATTTTCTTAATTATTTCTATTTTTTTTAGTTTCCTAAAGTTTTTTATTTGCGTTGGCAGACTTCAGAAAAAAACTCTTAATATAGTTTTTAATATTTTTTAAAGATAATTGGTTCACAACGCGAGTGTTTTGTTCAAATAAAACATTTGTTATTGTGCATAACTTCACGTTATCTCACTGTAATGGGTCCAATGTCAATAAAAATGTGATTTTAGTTGCAAATGGTAATGAAAGTAATGTTTATTACAAGCTTCATAAAAAAAGTAAGTCTTTTTTTTATATATCACAACGTATAGATTTAGATTTACACGTTGTTTGGTATTAAATTTATTATTTCAGTATTGTTTTTGCGTCTTTTTTTTAAAGACATTTAAAACTTATTTTACAAGGTTGATAATTCATATTTATCTATTTTTATAATTCATATTTATCTATTTTAAAACCTTTACCTCAATTATTAAATTAGTGATAATTATTAGAGAAGTGATAATTTATGTTATAGCAAGTTTGAACCAAATTCTTTTTTTGTTTCTGAAAATTTTCATTGATCTTACCCTGCGGTCACTGGGCTTCTTTAAGACGAACTACGGACTTGTGACGTCCATAGAACGTTGTATAAACGTCCTGCCGACGTCTGTGCCCGTTGGGCATGGTTCTCCGTTAATTCCACAAATTTTTGGAAGAAAAAAAGAAAAGATATAATAAACTAACTTTTGATAGAAGCACTCAAAAAAAAATTTGTTTTAAAAACACTGATTCCGCTTTAACTTTTATGATTAATAAAATAATCAATAAATTTTAGCTGTTATACTATAATTGCAGATGTGTTTAGTTTATGAAACCAACGAAGCTTTTTCTTGTTTAATTAAGGGAATGTTTATATGAGGCGGACTAGCCCGGTTAGCCAGTTCACTTAAATAAGATCTCGGCATCCCTAATATTTTCCTATAAAAACTAAACTTATTTACATAACAAACGGGCTAGCTCAGATAATTGAGAACTCGCCTAATTTCAGTGAGATCACACTCAGCTGAGACAATGTTTTTCCATTTAAACACGATAAAGTGAGCCAGCCCTGCTATTGAATGTACCTGATAGGAAATAATAAATTACGCTATTCCTTTTAGCAAATCAAAGACATTCCCGAATATTTTTAAAAAAACCAAATATATATATATATATATATATATATATATATATATATATATATATATATATATATATATATATATATATATATATATATATATATATATATATATATATATATATATATATATATAAATGTGTAAATTATAACTTCTGTGCAAACATTTTTTTTTCTGATCAGCCTGTTTAACCAGGCCTGATTCATATAAACATAAGAAGTAAGTAATAGTTAATAATAGTGTTTTTGTTTTTTTTAACACAACGTTTTTTGGTATTATTATAAGAAGAGTTGAGGTTTTATAAAGTTCTTTATAAAGTTTCTAAATCTAACATTTTTCTTTATTTGCAAGAAACTACATAAATCATTTCTGTTAATAATTAACTTAATGCATTTCTTTTAGGTTTTTTATTAAACTACTTTGTTGAGTGAAAGACTCTTTTAGGTAAATTAAACAACTTTGTTAAGTTTAATTTTAGGTTTTATTTAGTATTACGTTGTAAATGTTAAAGAAGTACTTCTTTTAGCTACAATCTTGTACCTTTCTTTTTTTATATAAGATATTTAACAATTTTTTCATGAGCAAAAACAAACTCAGAAAAAGTTATCTTTTTAATTGATAGCATTTTCATGCATTTTTAACTGATGTTTTTTTTTTTGACATTTTTTTTATTAAAGTAGTTATTAAAGTTACATAGTGCAGCGTTATTCTGTGATAAGATAGTAACGCTGAAAAGCATTTAACTAAAATTCACGCCTCCACCCTTATCACCAACCAACGCCTCCAACCACCCTTATCATCGTCGCTTATTGGACTAGAGCTGCCGTCGAACTCTTGATTCTGAGCCATAACTTTAACCACTGCGCCGCTGCAACATATTTTAATTAGCTTTTAAAACTATATACATCAAAACGTATTATCATTGAAGTACAAATATTTTACAAAACAAACCCATATATTTTAAAGTGCATCTTGACAAGGTCTTCATAATAAGATTTATTTTGATCTTCTTGATAAGATTGGCTGTTCTGTTTTGATTAGTATTCTATAAGTTCCGCCGTTGCTATTGTTAAATGTTAAACCTTTTTGGTTACTCTAACTATCTTTAAACAATAAAATTTATAAAGAAAAAAATTTAAAAAATTATAATTATAAAAAATGACCATTTCTGAAAATCCAGAGGTCCGTGTTTCAAAACGAGCTCTAGGTATATTTCGCGTCATTGGTAAGGAAGGGAGCGTGAAGTTCATAGTTAAATGCCCTTCCGTAGTGCTCTGTGACAAGACCATTAGGTCTTCTTGGAGCACCTAAAACAAGCAAACAAACAAAAAGTTTTTTGATTGATTAAAATTTAGATTTGAAATTTAAGAACTTTTTTATTTTTATTTAAAAATTTAATTTAAAAGGCTAATGTTTCAATTAAATCTTTTACTTTCACAACATATTTTTTAATCTTTTTTTTTAAATAATAAACATTTGGCTTCAAAGCAGTGGCGGATTGAGGTTTAAAATCATGGGCTGAGAGGTGGAGGGGGGGCAGAGAAATGAGTAGGGGGCGACAGGGGTTGGGGTTGGCATATTAACCGACAGAAACTTTATTTTTTTGAAAGTCGCCCTTGTGATAAATATATTTTATCGTTGCTTTTAAGTGCCTTTTAGCATAACAATTAAGTACATCTAAAACATTAAGCAAACTGAAGTTTGCTAAGCTTACTTTGGTTCAGAACTATCGTTAAAAAATAAACATTTAATATCATTTCAATGCAAAGTGGTCTGAAAAACTTGATTTTGGGCAAAAATTAAAATTTTGATGTGTTTATACTAAATCGATAATGCTGAATCCAAATCTGAAAATAGTTTTTGTATTGTGATTTCTTGTCATCCGTCTAATTGCCATACTTACATAATAAAATTGACAAATAAACAAATAAAATACTGACAAATAGTTTTTGACATAAAGGTTTTTTTGTTCAAATATCGCATTGGCGGCCCAATCATGAATTTCAGAAAAGGTTTTTATTTTTTTGCTTGTGGTTTGATAATATATCGCATCCCCCTCCCCTACAAAAATTTTTTTAATATCAAGCCAAAACTATATATTTTAGTTAAAAATTGTAGCTGATGATTTCCGTTTATTTTTCACAAGTTTTTAATCAATATTTTGGAATAATAAATAACAAAAATCACAAGGGAAGTTTGCTAAAATTTGTCATAAATTGGGTATTTATTTTTTTATGAAAAGCTAATATTTTAATTTTCAGTTTAATAATCAATCTAAAGATATATAAGTCAATATATTAAATTAAAAAACATAATATAGAAAGTATACGTACAATATGAAATAACAACGATATGATTAAAAATGTGGTATAAAACAACACAAATATTGCATCAATACATAAAATAACTTTCAAATGCTCTTTTATGATGCTCTGTAACCAAATAATAATAATACCGTAAGTATTATTATTATTTGGTTTGTAATGAATATTAGTTCCTTTATTTTAAATGTCTGTAGCTGATTTTTTTAGGAATTATTAAGCGATAATAGATGTTTAAAATATACTAAAAGTATAATGTTTTAAATATACTAAAAGTATAATGTTTTAAATATACTAAAAGTATAATGTTTTATGCTTACTAAAATATGCATTATTTTAAAAGTAATTTCATTTTCATTGTATATAAAGAAAAAAAAATGTTTTTGAACATGTATTTATAGAAATAAAACAAAAATAGAGACACTAGTATTTTTGAAAACATAAAATAGGTATATTTTTGGAGCTTTAAAGTTGGTTTAAATAATTATATCTGCAACTGGTTTTTTTTGGGATTATACATGCATGTTAGGATTTAATAAAATCATATCGATCAAGTCCATGCATCTGATCAAGTCCATGCATGACTTTACTTTAAGAATAAAGTTAAAATTGAAGAAAAAAAATGCGGACTTTACTTTAAGAAAAAGTTGAAATTAAAGAAAAAAAAATTATTTTATGCTAGTTTCAAACATAAATAGCTTATCCAAATATACAATAATAAATAATTATTATTATTTCAAATTAAACTCTAAACTATAAAATTTATTTTTAAAAAATATCTATACATTTGTGCATATAATTTATATATGAATGAAAAAATGTTGTATTTTTGCAAGAAACTATTGATCAATTTTCAATCGCTCTGGGATACGGTTATTTACTTTTTTTTCAAGAAAAAATATGAAACCTATATATTTTTGAATAGCCTGGATAATGCTGTGTTTAATAATAATAATAATAATAATAATAATAATAATAACAAAAATTAATTTTTTTTTTTTCAATTTTGGCTAAAAATAAAGTTTTTCAGACCACTGTGCAATGGTTTGGTTATTTAAGAATATATTTATACTATACATATTACTGAAAACAAGCATTTAGAAAGAAGTTACTTTTCTGCTAGTTTTATACAATTTTTTTTTGTAAGATTTCATTTCCAGCGGTTACAGAACGTTTGTTGGACGTCTTCAGAACATCAAAAAGACTATTAACGTCTATAAGACGTTGTATAGACGTTACACAGACGTCTGTGTTCTCTGGGTTAAAACAAAATGATTTATTGATAATTCAAAGTCAAAGCTATCAGTAAACTCACATTCACTTAAAATTAATGTTAATTCAAAAAGACATTGTTTTGTCTTTGTTGATCACAGATAATTTTTGATCTTTAGTCGACTGAAACCTCTTTCATCATAAACAGATGTAAAGGGAAAAGTTGTTTATACTCTACAAAATCAAATCAATTTTGTAGAGTATAAGCAAACTGGGAAAACTTGATGTCATCTATTTCTCTATTAAGATTGAACGTGCGTCTTTCGTTTGTAGTTCAATCGTCATTGCTGTAAATATTGATATGTGCATATCTTTGAAAGTTGGGCCAGTGCAAATAGGTGTCAAGCGCGGAGGGAAGGGGGTGCCGTACGGGTTTTTGCCAAAAATATTTTTAACACATAAAAACAAATCTAAATTGCTCAACATTGTTGAAATCAGTTAATTTATAGTTTTTTTGTTTTTATCCTTTAAAAAAATGTCTTTTATCATTTGCATTTAGTCATTGTAGTTTTATGAACATCT